TATATCTTCTATTGCTATAGAGCAGGGAAACTCAGTGAATAATAAAAAATCTGAGATCAAAATCTTCATGCTATGAATACAACGGTTTGGTGAACATGAAAATCAGCGACAAACTCTGCTGGCACTTGTTTTCATATTAAGGCAAAGTTTTTCTATTCCGTTTTGTTTTGTAATAACTGTCGTGACAACGTAACTTCAGTTTACTATTTTGCTATCCAAAAAAAGATAACTCTTAGTTTTAGAAAAGTGAACCACGAGAGAATCAAATGTAAGTGAAGACTCATTTAAAGCGGAGGTAAAAGTTATGATTTAAGGGTTTTTTCTAATACTTAGTTTTGAGGAAAAGGAATGATTTTGAAAAATTATACCAAAGTTTAGTAAACCTTCCAAGAAATAAGACGAAAAGTAAGGTTAGACTGCGTTTGTAAATTGGGACGTAGATAACAACACTACTGTAGCTAACCGGTTATGTGCACTAAATCTGTACTCAACCTTTAGGTGGATTAGGCTATGTTTATTACAGTATTAAATAGCTCTTTATCTTCTCTGTTCATTGTTTTTCAGTAATATTAACGGTGATCTGTATTTTTTTCACCAGTGAAGAGTGAGGTATAACCGATTTTTTAAAGTCCAGAAGAGGTGTCAAATGATTCTTCAAACAAAACTAGAGATAATGGTTGTGGGCTAAAAGCGCTTAATAACCTTTTACAATGATATATTATTGAGAGTTTTCAGCTTTAAGTTAACAAACAATGACAAGCAGCTTAAGAGTGCACATAATAGCTACACCCAACACTTGATTTTGATTCATTTGCTGAGTGATAATCAGCAGTGGTTCTATGAAGTAATTAGTAAAAAACAATAACTAATTTAGAGTTGGTTATGTCTAGTGAAAGATAAGTATCACAATGTGCTTCTGTGCTATACAATGTATACTACGTTTCGCAAAACAGAAGTGGCTTCATCATTAAAGAGATATTATTTTTGTGCCGTATATGTTGGGTCATTTTTTGTGCCACATAAGTGCATGGAACTGACAAGGGCAAAAGATCTGCGAATCTCATTTATAAGACTCTACCAAAATTAATTTTTTATACAATAATAACTAGACATTCAAAAGTTCTACCAATTTTCAGAAGTCAGTAATAACAATTATGGAAATATCAGACATTGGAGCGTGTGTTTCAAATTCAAGGGAATGCATTTTTTGTATGATCTGAAGAGTCACCGATAAAGTAAACAAACCACAACATGTTAGAGTGATTGATCTTTTCAGTGGTTCTCCAACAGATATCAGTCCATGACGAGTGATACCTTAAAGAATTCTTGTCAACTTGAGAATACACTACTGAATAATGCTCACTGGTGACATGCTTCTAGATTGATGTATAGAAATTCTAGTGAGAAGTCGTGACCAGTGAGGTCAACTAGTCAGAAGAGAAGCGTATGCCAATCGTGGATATTGAGTGGTAGTCGCGCTATATAGCGAACTAACAGAAGTTGGAATTTGTGAACCTATGAACTCTGATCAAGTGGTTGAAAAGTTAACGCGTTCACGTTAAAACACGAAGGTCCTGAGTACTATCCCTAGCTGTGTCACTGGTACGTACTAGTGAGGGGTTAAATAACTTCTCCAGAGCTTCCAGTTTTTCAACGGTTCTGCAAGTGATGTCAGTCAGGGGTGATTGCCACCTTAAAAATACTAAGGAATTTGGTGGTATAATCACAGAGGGGAAGGGTAGCTTAGACTTGTTCTCTCTGCAAAACATCAAGGTGTACTCAGAGTGCGAATGGACATGAAATATCGAATAGTGAACATGAAATTACTCATGCAAGTGAGTATTCTGAAGGCTCCAGAGGTACATTTTGTGTTGGCTTCACTAAAATGATGTAAGAGAGGATTTCGTAAAATCAAAATCCCAGTAATTTTGACAATAATTATAAGCATCGTTTACAGAAGTTCTAAATGGTTAGTTAATTTTTTGAAATGGCTTTCATTCATGCTTGAGCAAGTGTAGAATGGTGAGAAAATAATTTTGTCAATGGGAATAAAGCATAAATCAGGTGTAAAAATACAAAGGGAAACAGAAAAGCCTATGCCTTATTTTTACCAGCAGTTGACAGGCGTGGCTGTGAAGCTGTAGTTCGTTCACCGATGAAAGTACCAATAATCAATGTGGTCGTGTAAAGGCCATTATAGTTACTTTTTCAAATATACATGAAGGTAATTGGAAACTTATTAGTGTGGGCTATTGCTTACTTATGGTCTTCTTGATAAGGAAAACTAAGCACCATGTTCCCATTTGTCGGAGTTTTTTAGACACTAATGCTAACTGTTTAGACGACCAAAGCCTGCTCCTAAATTTTCCATCTACAACTGAATAAAATTAGGTAAAGCGTAATCAGTAAACACTATCTGACGGGTATCATCCTTTGCATGGTACAGAAAGCTTTCAGTGAGAGCTAAAATCAATTGACTGGAATATATTTCCATAGCATCGTAATGACACAACGCTAACATAACCAAATGACTAACAGTGGGGCTGAGGCATATTGGTCCAAGCAGCTGAGTTCCTACTGATGAGTTACGGGATCTAACTACTTACGCCTACTGAGGTTTGGGATGCTAGTTTGCACCATTAACTGGAACGCAGTATGTGAGGTTCAATGTCTACTGAAGTGGTGTGCACAGGGTAGAATTTGACTTTTTGCAGCAAATAACAGCAGTATGATGACATATTAGATATAATTACATGAAGAAACGACTTGAGAAAACGGGTTTATTACTGAGTATAAAACTATCGTCTTGTAAATATTCACAATAATCTATATCATATAAGACTTCAAAAAGAAACGTTTTTGCAAAACGTCAGTGTTTCTGAATCAAACTATATTCTAATTGAAAACTTTAGTGGAACTATAAAAAATTATACACCCTTCTCTATCAAAACCCGGACATATCTTCAGGTATATCTATATTGTTGTCTATCAAGTGCAGATGTCTGCATTTTATTGGCTTGTGATGATGATGACATAAGTAAGCTGAGCATTTGACAAATCATTTTTTATTGAGCGTTTTGTGTATATAACTCATACAAATACGATTTCACTTTTTCTATATCAAAAGTGGTTTTAAATTTGTACACTTAACATATAGCTGTTTCATACCTTTGATACATTTTAATCTGAAGTAGTCTAGTGTTTTGAGTGATAAACAAAATAGCATTTTTTATTTCACTAAAATTACTAATTCAGGTTTACGAATGTATTTATACGCACGGATTGATACAAAATTCAGTGTTGATAACTTCTAGGAACCAATGTCAATATTTCAGGTGCTTGACTGATAAAACGTGCTAAGCAGCACCGTATTTGAAGTATTTAGAATCATCCACAAAACCTTCTTCCTTAAATTTAAAGTAAAAATATAGCCTGAACTAATTAGTCATTCTAATTGGTTACTCACTTTGAGACGCCATTAAGTTTAAGGTGTACATACCTTCTACAAATTCTAATGGGTATCCAATTTGCATGGGATATTTCGAGGAGTCAAATTTTTTTTACTTGTTTTTGAATTAATCAAGGAATTCTAGAAATTTTTATTATTTTCATGAAATAACCTGATTTCTAAGAGTAAGGCTTCATCTTGGAATCAATCGTCCAGTTAATTAAACAGTTGTTGGTGGCGAACTGGAAACTGTCAAAAATATTCTAGGTATTTGGTATCATACTGTAATAAATCCTTATAATTCATACATTAGCCAGGATACATATGTTCAAGTTATATCATCTTTCAGCTACGTTATCTATAACATGGTTTCTAACCAAAAGTATTACTAAACAATAGCCAGCTTTCCTTACAAATGTTAGTAACTAATGATGATCTAGGATCATATTAATGGATCTTAATATTAATTCTGGCTGTGGTGTGGATATCACGCAATCTATAGAGCATTGGGTAGGTTTTTCAGTCGTTCATAAAGTAAAAGGCATCGTTTCGTAATGTTTGTTGAAGTGGATGAGTGCCTAAGGGATAACTGGCAGTGAATAACACTATGTAAAACGATCAGATTCGAATACCTCTGGAGTAGTTTCTCAATATTTACACTGCGAAATATATTAATGACACTAGAACAGGTTTCTCTGCAGTAATGTTATCTTATTTCTACGCCGAGAATGCAATTCTTAGGCTTTTTATAAACCTATGATCTCACTGAAATAAACCTTAGTTTTTGGTAAATATTACACGTAAAAGTAAAATTTGAAACCTATATTTTGCTGCACAAAGGCGGTAAGTTCCTTTTGGCATAAACGTATGAGTTGTTGCAAAACATTGGCTTCTATCAAAAAAATTGATTTTCAAAAGTCAGTTAAATTAATTATTCAGCAAAATAAATCCCTTTGAAACCTGCAATAATATAGATGTCGCCGCCAAAAGTCAACGGAACAAAACTGAAGGTGCTTATAATTCAGTGTGTAATGTATTGAAGTAAAGTATTTCTCAGTGACTATGAACAACTGGTGCCATATGTGCGATACTTTACGCTTTGCTAAAAATTCTATCTTCATCTGCTTCAGGTTTGTTAATATAACAGTAAAACTTAGACCCGTGGTTGAATGAAATTCCATTTTGGTTAGTTTTTTAGTCATATCACCCAGTAAAACAGTATCATTTACTGGACTGTCTCTTGGAAATAACTTATTGTTCATAGTCGTATCAAGATAATTCCATAACTTCAAGACATGGTTTACATAGTTCTAAGAGGGCAAGAAAGTTGGAACAATAAATATTGCTGTTTCACTGTGTAGTACATCTAGTAAATCAACTAAACTGGAATTACTTCTGGTCTGTTTCGTTTTCAACTAGTAAAATTAGAAGAGGAGAACCATGTAAAAAATAAATCAGTGGGCTGGTGTGATATTTATCAAGATGAGGTCAATACGAGTGCACAGGAAGCCTGATTACAACACGTAGACACAATCATAGGATATTCATTTTTGGAAAGAATGTCATCTTAGTGATGAATGGTTTATATGTGTACACGTGACATGATATTCATTTAATTAAGCTATTATTACCTTTCGCTTCTCGATAAAGGGAAATATATTGTGAATAAATCAAATGAAGGCATAATTTTTCAGACCTGATTTTGATAAAGTAGCTCTAAATACTACAAAGCCTTCTGACATATTAGCATGCTAGAAAACAAAATAGACTACCAGTTTTAAGGTTTACGAAGTAATTTTTCAAAGGTTAGCATTCTATAAACCTCTAATTACGGAAGAAAAACCAATAAGGTTTTGCGATCGATAATTACTGAAGTGACAGAAATATTATTACAAGTAATATTTAACAATACTTAACTCGGTTTTGTTGAAAATAACCTAACCAATTTTGACCTACGCATTTAAATTCGTAGTAAATGGTGTACTGGGTTCATTGTTTGTACTTATAAAATTAAAGTTGTAAATGCAAGTTGTTAAAGTTAGTAAAAACTGATTCACAGTAAATAGTTGACATTGAAGATCTTGACGAAATACAGTGTCGAAATAATCCCCAACGGTTAACATGAAGTATCAGAAGAATAAAGTGAGTAGATTAAAGAATCAATACCTAGACTCCACACAGTTCGTATGGAAGGTATAATTTCGATGACAGACACTAAAACTACTTGGTTTCAACTTATGTGAATGTTTAGTTTATATTAGCGCTATTCAAACCGAAGGAAGTTTGAAACTCAGTACGCCATAGCGCTGAGAACTATTAACGGTTGTATTTAAGTCTTGTCGACGAAATCAGAGCCCAAACGACAAAATCTAGATTATGGGGAAAATGTATTCCTCAGTTATGATTGGCTATGTAGCTTACTGGTAAGTTATTCTGTAGTGAAAATACGGCACGATATACCAGTTAAATTATGATTAGGAAGCCATAAAAAACGGAAAAACACTGTGCTCTTCAGTCTATCCAAAATCAGCAACCAGTAGGATTTCTAATTGCGGATAAAGTTAGTTTCTTTCAAAAAAACCTCATGAATTTATTATCAACTGTTAAAATCGGATACATTTTATTTCATTCTTCCTCAGAAAACGGTGAAATTTGGGTAGTTTCATGTTAAATAAAGGGTTCTAGAATGAACTATAAAGAATGCTAGGCATTTTGAAGAACTTTATAGCCAGTGTGAATTAAATTAAATTCTAACTTCTGTAAAGAATGCAATTTGAGTATGAAATACAAACAGACAAATTAAATGCATGTTACTCTCATTTTTAAAATAGCGAATGGGTCTGAGGTCGTACTTTTTAATGACCAATTTATTATGATTTGGTACCAAGATCATCTGACCAAATACTGGGTGAAGTATTTGGGCTTGTAATGCGACTGGTGTATGAATATCCTTGTTAGGTTGCTTTAGCAGCTGTTTCATACATGGAATCCTCTCAGCTAGAGTTCCGCTCAACAACCCAGGGTATGTTTATACTATTTTCATGTCCTATTATCAAGAAACATGTGTGAAAGTTTATTTTTAACCGAAATGAGTATTTCTGTCAACTCGGATTTTAGTTTTATTCGTTACCATAATGAGATTTGCTTCGGACTACTGCAAGCGAAATGGAGCTAATTAGTTGGAACATCAGACTATTTTCTTGTCTAACAAATATTGTGAAAAGACAAACCGATGACCTACCTGATGGAATACTGAAGGTGGATTAAAATTGAACAGTGTTATGAATGCATAAATACACAAACAAACAGTAGTCGGTACCTCCGTTATCAAGAATATTCCTAGTATGACAAGCATCATTTTCGATGTGGAATCTGTGTCAGTAGAATTTGTACGTGATGATTTCTGTTTGATAAATCTGTCACATGAAGTTTGGTGGGCTTTTGTTGCCACAACCGTTGTCGTGGTTGTTGTCAGTAAATTAGCTGATGTTTTAAACTGTTCATTTATACTGATTTCTCTTTGATTACGTCTATCTTTTTGTACCACATTTATCTCTCCCCTTTGTTCTTCTTTCCCCAAAAGCTGTGATTCAGTACCATTTTTATTGAGTAGAACCTGTCGGTTTTCATTCTTAATCTGCAATAATTTTTGTCTATTCTGTATAAAACGTCTTAAAGCCATAATCAGCAGGCCAGTTAGTATAGTCAGCATGATACATGGTATCAGATTGACAATAAATACACGAATCAATAATAAACTGAAGAACGCCGTTTGACTCATTGGAGTACATTTCATCAAGTTGATTTTCAAAAATGAAATATAATTCATATCGCCCCTCTGTTCATCAGTACTAAGAGTGAAAGAAATGTGTTCAGAGCCAATGAAATTTGTTGACGTAGACGGAGTGAGCAATAACATTGATGACGATTGTGAAGACAGGGATAAAGGCGTTGATGTTGATGATGAAATACAGTATTCCAGAGCATTTACAAAATATGTTACAATCATATGTGGTAGCTGAAGTATTAATCCTGCTACAACAGTTAAAATAATCAGCCACTGAACTGGTCTTGATTGGCACAAATAAATACGATTCGCTTTCAATGGAAATTGTACGTAAATGAATCTCTGCAAAGCCAGTAATACTGTTAACCAGATTGAGGAAGTATGACAGACTGTTGGCAGGATTGTAGTCAGATAAAATGCGGTATAACCTTTGAAGACCGTTAAGTTTTCTGAAAACAAGTTACTTGTTAAAAAGCACAAATATACAGGTAATGGCAATAGAACTGTAAGCAAGTCACATATAGCTATGCCTAACAGAATAATATTTGTTGAATTACGCATTTTTGGATGAGTCAGTACAACTGATGTTAAACAGTTTGTTATAATTGTAAAAAAGATAACGAATGGTTGTACATATGTTTGGAGAATATATCGTAAGTGAAAGCTGGATATGAAGCCTGGAACACGTGAACAATAAGATGTTTGTGAGGTACCGTGTAAATCTATGTACTTTTTAAACAACGGTAAACTGTTTGTTTTGAACATATTTATTGTTGACATGTTTGGTGTTGACTGATCAACTGAATTAATATCAATATTCAGCTGAATTGCAACATTTGCTGCATCAATCAATTCCTAAAAAGAAATCCATTGAAAAAATGAAATAAGAGTATTACAGCTATACGAACGAAATAGTTTTATCCAGTAGGATAAATTGAAATAATTGAAGTCCCTAATGGTTGAGTTCATCTGTTAGACATCATTGACTTTTAAGTTCTTCTGCTTAGATGTACCACATCATCTAGACGAGGTTTACAGTTAGTAAACTGAAGGAAGCAGTCGTTACTCCATACAGGAAACAAAGTATCGTGAAATTGACTCAGTTTAGTTTTCGCTGCATATATTTTTACTCAGGTGCCTCTCATAGGTGATACATCCTTGTGCTAAATATATATATATATCGCTTGGTTTCTTTAAAACACAAAAAAGGCAGCAATAAGAATAAAAGTTTATCCTACAGTCGGATGTTTACAAAATTTAATGGTTTATATGCATTTTTTGATGGGCTTGGAAAGTTCTCCACACCTTTTTAGAGAGCTCTTGAACCAATCCCAGTCTCACAAGTATGATCACGTAATTTTTCCTAAACTTTTTCCATGTCGTGATTGTCTGTGAAGGCTTATCAAGGATATCCAGGCTTCCATGAAGAGTCCATTACGATAGGTGATACAAAAAAGTATTAAACCTGTATTATTTTAAAGACTGTTTCGAAACAATTACGATTGATGTTCATGAAATAGAAAGTCTGATTTCACATCACCTACTAAACTTGTTTACTTCTCAACGATTAGTTACCATACGTATAGGAGATACTAACTACAGTTGTTGGTCTAAGTTGAATACTCTCAAAACAGAGTTTAATATGTACTTTAATTTTGAATATTTAAGTGAGTGAAACATACTTGATACAGTAAATCAGGTCAAAAATCAGTGTTATTAGTTTCACAGTTTGTACTGTTCAGTAACGGATTCCTTTGAGTGACGATATGAGATGTGTACTCACTTGGCTCTTCATTATCCGATAAAAAGTAGTAAACCAGTGGTCAAATATATCGACAATCTAGAAGTAGTATTCATCATGGACTGACATCAGTTGGGGAACCATTGAAAATCTGGGAGCACTGGACAGCTGTTTCGTCTTAGTATGGGACTCCTCAGATGTAGGCACCCACCACCCGGCCAGAGGTCGAAACAGCTGTCCAGTGCTCCCAGATTTTCAATGGTTCCCCAACTGATATCAGTCCGTGATGAATACTACTTCTAAATTAAAAATCCCCACTCATCTCAAAAATATATCGACAATCGTTTGAGACCTCATTTTAAGTTATAACGAAACACATGCAATGACCATGGTGACCGTTGACCCATTTCTTTGTAATGCATACTTAATATTGTGCTGAAGAAAACAATTCATTTAAAAATTGTCGGAAATGAAAGAGACCACGATTATTGCTTGATGGTTTGCTTCTACCAGTTATATTTTGTTGACTTTCAGAATTATTGCTCGAAGAATCAACAACTGACATCACGTCATTTCATGGTTGAACTACTTCAAAATTGTTTGCTAAGTAGCTGGAAATAACTCAAATGGACAGCAGGAAGCCAAATAAACGATTATTTAGAATCAGGTTAAGAAAACCGGTAAACTTCATATGAACTAAAATATCTGCCAAAAAAAATACGGCACTCTTGAAAAGTTTCTCTACACCTACCTGATTTAGGAGATAAATATCGCTTGTGGCATTCAACAAACAGCTGGAAAACGACATAGCGATCACGTGCAAGAATAACTTGACTCTGAATTGTGTTGTATTTAGTTTATACTAAAGCATCTAAAACAAAAACAAATAAGGTAATGCTGTGTTTTGAATTATTAGGACTAAAAACATTCTGCAATGTTGAACAAATATTTGTTTTGAATAGAATTTTAGAACAACCTGATATAATTTGGAGAAACACTGAAAAGCTTGAAAAGTGGAAAAGCTTACTCATCATATTCTCAGGCTCCTTAAAAATGCACCAGTCTCTACAATGCTCAGCTCAAAAGCATCAAGTCTCAGAGAGAGCTGTCAAGGAATATCATGACTAGTCAAAAGCAGAAAAAAACGTACCACGAGGTTCTAATGCATTATCAGAATCGTTATATAGTCGACGAAATGTCAACATTATTTGCTTAATAACCAAGTGATCTGGATATCATTCTCATAGATCATTCATCTAGTCAAAAAACGTGTCACCTAAAGGGGCAGGTAGTTGACGCATAATTCAACACGTAAGTATTACTGTCGCTCTGAACATTTTCCGTAGCTAAAAAGCTAGTTTTATCAATGTCAGTTAGATGAAAATCTTTTACATAGACGCAAAATAACTGCAACTGTCAAATTTAAGAACAATATTCCAGAGATCAGAAAACGTAGAACAAGTTATCATGTACAAGTTGCGTGGATAAACTGATAAGAAACAAATGTTTCCAGAAGGAGAAAAGCCTAGTGTAACTGCTTTAACAACCGTAAAACATTCGAAGTCACATTGTGATAAATACTCTATGGTTCTTCAGATGATATTTATAAATGAGAATGTTTGTCAGGGTGCAAAGTAGGTTACTTTTAATAACTACTATCACTCATACTTCCGGGCAAATTGGACCAGTTGACAGTATTCAGAGGTATGCAGAAAAACCTCTAAACAAGCAGGCCTATTTCATTGCTGTTCATTAGTTTCACTTGAAATCAAAGTCTGCCTTAAAATCAACCGATTAGTTGCAAACAGTCTGTCGACTGGAAAGCATCTTGAACATTATATTAAAGTTGGACCTGCAAGTCAAATCCTCATAAAGCACAGTTTACAGTTACATGTGCTAAATACAACATTTGAATCACTATGATATACTATGCTTTATGCACTTTCAGCGTCTGCAAATTCTGGCTATGAGTACATTTGATTTTCAGTGAAAAGAAGCTGAACAGTGTGTTTCATCAGGTTATAACCACATTCACAGTGGAATGAATATAGTTTATATTGTTTTGCCTTGGTTAAAATTTTCAGAATAACCGGATGGTATTATGCCTTTATAACGCCTAAGAGAACCCTAGCTGGTAAGTCTCGGAAAAGCAAGTAGCACAAATTATTTAGAATTCTAGCACTTGTTAACATTGCATCCTGTTAATATGAATCTTCTTCAGTTAAAGTGAAACTATGACTCACAACATGTTTCCAATTAAAAGTATAAACCATCCTGAAGATTATATGTTACGTTGCGAGCACAGTCCCAGGCTGAAAATCATATAGTGGTGATATCACTCCACTGTATCATTTATTTATCAAATAAATAAGCATAATATAATGTTCGACCAAAATACCCAAGTACTACCTCCATGATAAAGTTGAGATTATTATACAGTTCATATCTAAGACTTGTCTGAAGGAAATAGATTGAAATCCCACACGTGAGTTTTCAATAATTTGTCATTTGTAATAAAAATGGTTGTTTTGTAGAACAAGTCAAACCAGATATTAATCTCTTGTTATGATTTTGTCGTATTTATGTCGTTAGTTGCTGACCCCTAGAACTAGGACTAAATATTGCCTGTAAGATTACTACAAAATTGAAAGTAAGCAACCTATGGAAGCTTTCTAATGCATGTTGTTCACAGTGATATATATTAACCCTTAATATCATCTTGGGGAGATGGTTGGGAGGAACATTTGGAAGTAATTCATTCAACTCCTGGGATTCCATTTTCCTTATTCATTAAATGTGAGAATAAACTGGATTTACATTGTTTATGGATAGGCTAATAATTGATATATACTGTTATTATTTTCAGGTTAAATTTCAGTCTTATTTCAACTACCTGGCATCAAACCGATATTTCACTTAGCGATACTTTGTCAATGCACTCTATCTAAAGGGAAATGTCAATTTTTACGAATGCGATTTTCTGGGGTTTCAGAAAGAAATTTTGTACATACACCGACAGTTCACAATTGAGTGAAGGATAACCAATAGAATATATTAAAGGTATGCTTATTGTTCACATTTAAGCAAACGTCTACGAATAACCTATGTGGTAACTTAATTAGGTAAGTTTCATCCATAGGAATACTTTGTATTAATTATATCGATGAAAACTTTGCGCATTGTGGAGAGAATCAGTTTACTAAAAATACATTTATAATGAATGTTTACGCACAGTGAAGTTACTTAAAAACTTTGTATGGTTATTAAAAATCTTAAGAGAGCATCTTTACATTGCAGACAGTTGTTTGGAAATAATATAGCTCACTGAAAAACTTTTCGGCATATACTTCGCGTTCTCCATGAAAAATATTTATATATAAATAAAGCTTTCTATAAATCTCAGTTACAACTTCTTTAAATTGTCAATCATGCTTCAAATTCGTTTTCCAAATATGCTTCCGCTTAAATACATACGAAGAGAAGATTCAGTGTTTGGATAATACATATATGTATATATAAAACGACAATATGATATTCATAATTCTGGGCGAATAATAAAGTATCAACTATGAATGGTAGGTGACAGCAACTTATCTCATGTTTTTTCTCAAATGGAATCAATGAAAATCTTCATGAATTTTCATAAAAATACTTATGTAAAATACGTGATCGGACAGTTCGTAATGTGTTGCACAAATACGTTATACGGTCCAGTCAATTTACGTCTGATTGTTTTGTCGAAGTTTTTTAAAGGCGACTAACTGTGTCGAAATAATTATTATTAATAATCGTAATGATAATAATAATAATCGGATTCTGACACATGGGTGATGACAGGCAGAATGAGTATCAGATCATTCTGTATGACACAGTTGACAGAAAAATTAGTTTCTAACACTCGGAATTTCACAGAGGATGTTAGATAAGTAGTATATACAAGCTCTGTCACACTTAGTGCTATATGCATAAAGTGCCGTCTACTTATTTCTGATCTAGCCTTCAAGCTGACAAGTAGTACGCCGTAAATGAACAAACTCGTTATCATCTGTCTGTTCATAGTGCTTTGCACTAGAAGAGTTATTCTGCAAAGAAAATGAGCTGTTATGAGTCAGCCATACATAAAGACTTTTGTAGTAGTTAGTGCTGTTCGGTAAACTATCCTACACTCTAACGAATATTTTCACTGAAATTGTAACAATGCAGATATTATTTATTTCGACCAACTCTCAGATTTCATACATTTATAACTGGATGTTAAGTTTTGGTAAGAAAACATTTTGTAATACTTTATATTTGTCAAATAAAGTTAAGCATTCACGTCAGGAATAACCTGTTCACAGATAGGCCAGTATCATTCATAATATAAGCTTCATGAGAACACAGGCCATAATCTTCATCCTTTTAGCTGTATCTACCTTAATTACATTCAAGATGATAACTGGTGAAACTGTACAGATAGTTTTGCTAAATTAGCATTATAATGGTTTTTTGACAGGTCATCTCAAGCTTCATTCACTACTAGACATAATGATGATGTGGTAAAATTGATGTCCAGACATGTGGCATTTCTTCTTGGGTGATTACAGCCATGCAAATATCAACTTTTTGCTAATTATATTCGTAATTACTTTCTCATCAATTTATTCATTACTTTCTGCCTAACTATTGCATAGTAAAATATTTAGGTTATGGTTCACAGAGACAACTTAAAGAAAATCTACAATCCTTTACAGCTCATTGATATTAGTGAAGTCAGTCCTGGTAGTTGTGAGACGACTGAATTTATTCAGTGAATGCAGACCTTTACTCGTTTAACTTTACATCATACACGTAAATATGTATAAACTATGAATAAATTACCGTTTCTTTTGTCTACTTCACAATAAAATGGTATATAATATAATTAAATATTTTTAATAAGCTAGATAAATTACTTAGGAGTATAAAGTTACTCTCATGGTCCTATACAGCGTTAAACGTTGTATTTTTAAAGCATTTTTTTTGCTGAATTGGGAACTGTCTTCTCAGGTCCTCACAATTAAAAGTTTCTTAAAGGCGTATTGTGTTTACCCGCTCCGTTTTTATTTTCAGTGTAAACAAAGCCTAAATTTACTGGTAAGTGCATAATATTTAGTTGCCGAAACTCTCCTATTGATGAGTAAATAATTACAGCTTTGATGGATTTGTTCTTTCTGTTACACTTTCACCAATCTGTAACGTGATTTCAGTGCATCTTATAACCTCAGAAATGTATGCGATTTCTTTGACCTTAAAATTCTTGATAGACATACTTATATGAATATTTTCAAGTGTGTTTTTTTGCTTCAAAAACACTTTTTTTCTGTTCACCTTTCTAAATAAACATCACTAACATTCTACTACAGTATATTAATAACCAGTTACTTGAAGCTATAGAATGAAGGATTAATTTTTGTGTCAGAAATGAACTTGTGTGCATACTTAAAAAAGTGCACGCAATCTGTAATAAGGGAGGCTGAAAGATATGCTTTATACTTATAATTGTTAATTTCCGAATTCATGAAAGCAGTCTTACATATATCCGTTACATAACTACTATGTTCTGATGAAAATAACTACTTATGTTCAGATGAAACTTAGCCTATTTGTACAGAAAGTCAATCGAATGAGTCACTTAATTCTCATCAGGTAAAGTTAATTCTAGGATAATTTAGACAGTTTTGACAGTATCAGCATCAGTGTAACTACTGTCTATTATGAATTTTGTGAATTCGCTGTTACGAAACACGCATCATCTTGTTGCCCGAATAGATTTTTAAACATGTATTCATTGCTATCAGAACTTAATTATTCAGGAAATCTTTTCGAATTGGATGAGAGTATCATATTTCC